TCAGCCTGGAGAAGAGAAGGCTTTGGGGAGACCTTCTTGCAGCCTATCAGTACTTAAAGGGGGCTTATAAAAAAGATGGCGGCAGACTTTTTAGCAGGGCCTGTTGCGACAGGACAAGGGGGACTGGCTTTAAACTAAAGGGGGGTAGATTTAGACTAGCTATAAGGAAGAAATTTTTTATGCTGAGGGTGGTCAAACACTGGCACAGGTTGCCCAGAGACATGGTGGATGCCCCATCCCTGGAAACATTCCAGGTCAGGTTGGACGGGGCTCTGAGCGACCTGATCTACTTGAAGATGTCCCTGCCCGTGGCAGGGGGGTTGGACTAGATGACCTTTAGAGGTCCCTTCCAACCCAAACTATTCTATGATTCTATGATTCTATGATTCTATGATTCTATGATATGAATTCTTACCCTTGGAGCTGTCCCTATTTTCTTACGTAGACTTCATACATGCTAGCTTTGTATGTATGCCTTAATCCTATAAGAATTTATCTGAGGTATAGGACTGATTGATTTTTTTGTTATTAACAACAGCCATATTTAAAAAGGACACAAGTCATTCTACCTGACAATGTAATATATATGAACGCCTTCCTTCTTCATAACTCGATGAAGGTCTGACTAGTTCCTACAGGAACTTGGAGGAAGCTGTATTGAAAGCTGTCCAAGTCAAATTCCAATAAAAAGGCCACCCTACTGTATAAAGAACAGGGAAAACACCACCCAGCTTGAAAAAACATGCACTAGTGGTCTGCGACAGGGTTGACTACACAGGAGAATTTGCCATATGTACAGCTACTTGCATAATTTTGCAATTGGTTTCCATGGTAGCTGAGCATCAAAACAGAAAGAAAAAAGGGAAAAATTAAAAAGATGCTTTATTTAACCTTTTAAAACAGTAAGGTGCAGTTTCATGACAAAATGGTGGTATTTCTTATTAGACAGACTTATTTTCTGCTTACCTATTTTTCTGTGGCAGGGAGCAAGACTAGATCTCTGTGTATTGCATACAAAACGGCCTGCATGTGTGCACATCTGGTTACACTGGAAGACCAACATGATGAAAACATGAATTTCAAAGGCAAATGCTGTGCTATACTGTTAAAAAAGTGATCACACGGGTGACTGTATATTGATTTTGTTCATTCTATATACTCCAGGACTCGTAATAATTTAATAAACTCTCAAGATACTCACATTTTCTTCACCTTTGTACACTTGCTGAAAACTTCATCTGGAAGAGAAGGGATCTGGTTGTGTGTGAGTGACCTAAAAGTAAATGGTAACTGATGTTTAAATTAGGTCTTAACTGGTCAGTGTTACAACTCTCAAAAATCAGACCTTACATCTGGGTGCAGCCAACACAGGGTCAGAGCCCGGAAAGGACTTTGCGCACATTCCATTACGTTACAGTGGGTGCAGTACGTTGGTTGCATTACCTTGCCTGTGAAGCCTAGGTAACCTCAGCTTCTTTGCCATCTGTCCTTATTGTTTAAATCCTGAGCTGAAGCTTGAGTGCCCTCCTAGGATTAGCTGGGAGAAGACAGGCCTGCCTTTGGTCTGTTTGGAAAGTAAATGCACTTTACTGCTTGAACAAGCTAGCTGAAGGCCAGCAAGCTTCATTGCCGAGTTTTAACACTGGCTTCTTTTAAATATTTGCCTTCAGTGATCCAGACAGATCTTTGAGACTTTCTCATATTAACAAGTATTCAGCAATATATAATTTTTGATGACCTGTAGGACTGGAGCGAGCAAAATGAAATAGGGAGCTGTCAGTCATCATTAAGAACCAATAATCCTGAAATTCCTGCTATGGTAACTTCAGCAATATTTGGTGGGTGCTCATTACCCCAGTGCTGGCTGCACAACCAGTGATCTTTACTGCATGGCCGGGGGCTGACAGGCTTTAAGCAATAGGAATGATGAACGCAAATAGCATTCAACTCACCTAATTGTAAACATCTACAGTGCAAAATGCACGTCTCAGCTAACACCCCAAGCTCTCTTTAGAGGAGGGAGGTAAACGTGTTCTGTGTGCAGTTCATATGACCTATATTAGTTGACTGGTTTACAGTGTTGACACATATATTTTGTCGGATGAATTCCACACTGAAGTGGGCCTTGCAGCAAAATGCTTACAGCATTCACTACATACTAGTAAATCACCTAGTAAATATCCATAGTGCCTCAACCTTTTCTGCAGTCTCTGAATGCAGAGGGCCCATACTTGGTAGTATAGCACTATGCAAAATGTGTTTAGGCATCTCTCTGTAAAACAGCTTTATGCTGGAGAGCAAAGGGAACTCTACTTACGGAAGGGTTACATTACTTGGAACAAGTGGAACGGACTTTAAATTAACAGCAGCACATTCTAGTACTGTTTCCATACAGCTGCACCCTTCTGTATATTGGTGGACACCTGGGAAAAGGAATTCTTGAATGAATGTCTTACATATGACCCACCAAGTACATCTGATCAGATGGAGTGTCATTTTGAGACCTCTTTTTAGAAAGGGATTGGACATCTAGATGCAACACCCCCAAATTACCTTAGTAAGCTTCACCTATCAGGAAGGCTATAAAACACTGATGCTGCGCTTCCTAGGACTGCAGTGCTTTACATGTAATGAAAGCAAACGTAAGTAAAAAGTAAACCAAGTTTAATACCCTACTGTCCATAAGCTACAATAAGTGTAACTGAAACACAACATGTACTTGATGTACGTATAAATTTATATATACATACAAACGAGAACATCTGAGAAACTGCTGATGGAACAGTTTCCACTGGAGAATGCAGATTTAAGTCACTACACTTCACTGGGAAATCGGATGCTTTGATTTCAGTGCAGACCAGAGGGAACACAGCATCTAAACTTGCCTCTTGCTTGCCAAGACACTGTCCTTGCTTTCTGGGATTCAAAGGAAGGGCTTTTTGGGTACCCCAGCTTGGCAGTCCATCTGAAGAGCTGTCCCAGAGCTGTAATACTTTGACTGAGCTGAGGCTTTTGGGTTTATGACTCTTCATCAGTAGGCAGGAAGAAATATTTTAGAAGATATTCTTTCATAGAGAAGCCTTTCTTTTTTCTTTTGTTCCTGGGTGGGATGAAAACAAATACTGACTTTCCAAAAGTTTCCAGAAATGTAATTACCATTTTCCTGCAACTTTATAGAGCTGCAACATGGCACTGACGAGGAAGTTCTGCATTGCATTACTTTGCTCTGCTCTGGTATGCATGCAAAAAGCTCTGGGAAAGTAAAGGAGTTCCCTGAGCGCATCTAAAATTCCAGATATCTCTATAATTATAGTAAATATATGTATGCAGTGAAAAGCCTTAGAAGTGTAAAATAGTTTAAGAATATTAATAAAGGCATTAGGATTAAGTTAGAATTCTTCTGATAAATCCAGATAATTAGGCTTTCCATGAATATTAAAGATACCTGCCCATCCACTATTACCTCCTATAAAAAGTGTTAATGTTTGTCAGCTGTACTTTAAATTGTCTATCAGCTTTTAATGAAAACCAGAACATTAATGCCAATTTGTCTGTGGGGTACACGTGTTTTCTTATATGGAATAGAACCAAAAGTAAATCTTCAAAGGGATTGTTCTTATTGCCTTTTCTGCTGATTATGAGTAGCAATTATAAGCCCAAATTAAGAAATCTCAAGTAAATTGAATATCAGAAGTGTACCAGACTATAAGCATGGCACTATAAGCATGAGAGAAATCTAATGTTGATGCAAAATATTATTAGCAGATGTGTTTATAAAAAGAACTGAATGCTATAGTAGAATGATTAATGTAGTGGAGAAACTCATACTGCAGTACATGGTGTAGCATGGAGAGTTACAAATTATTTCCAGTGAAAAGCTACAAATGACAATGGAAGTGTTCTAGGACAAGACTGAAAGTCAGAAAGTGACTCAGTAAAAAACAGAAAGCTTACACCAGTTTCAGTAAATTAATATGTTTGGTGATCTCAAATTCAAGGCAAAACCATGGAAAATGATGAGAACAGATCATTACTGGACCAACTAAATATATAGGCAATTGTACAAGTTATATGAGATTTGAGAGAAAATCAGTTAAAATTTATAAAGCTTAGACTTTTTTTTTTAATAGATTGGCAGAAGGTAGGAATCTCTATTACATATGGAGAATATCAGTCTTTGGGGCAATCAGTGTTAGCAGTACACCAGAGTGCAGTTTGGAGCTAGTAACGGCACTGGTACGTAGATGAACGGTAAACAGGAAAGGTGCGATGTGGAAAGCCATAAACACAAATGACCACATCCAAAGATGGTGGCTGAGGGGTGATGGTAATGAAAAAGGAAAGAGGCACAGGAGGATGATTTGAAATACCTAGAAAGAAGAAAAGGAAGTGAAAGAGATGCAAGAACTTCATTACGAGGCAGGTAGGGAGGGAGGATACAAAGCGGGAGATCACAGTGGTGTTGACACATTATCTTCTGACCCAACATGATTCAGAGTGACAGAAGAAGTCAAATGTGATGTAGAGGAAATCATGCTCCAACACAGGGATCATTTATTAGCCGAAAAAGGAGATTGGTCTCATTGATCTGACTTCCTCATTGCTCTTTTGGATTGAAAGTGGGCGTGGAGATCAGTAAGACAGAGAGGAATGGTAGTGTGATCACCACCAAGTGTGTATGTGCTTATGCACATATACCAACATATGTATAAATATAAGACTCTTGCAACACTTGAAATCATCACAGAATAAGAATTCTTCACTTCTTACTGTAGAAAGCCTTACTGAGCATAAGTACCCCTACTTACATGCAGGAGTTCATGCACCCACTTTGAAGGATTCCCCACAGAGATATGCAGTGATTACCCATTGTCCACAGCAGAGGATAATATAATAGGGATTCTACAGGAATCTGACCACTGGAGTCTGCCTGGGGCATGCCGTTAGACACTCTGTCAGTTTTCTCTGCTGACCAGCATGGTGTAATTCCCTCATTCACCCAAGAAAAGAAAATATTCAATTACATTGAAAACCCCGGACTTGTCAGGCTTGTGGATCATCTGCCAACTATTAGTGATTCAGTGTGTATTAGCTGAAGGAGCGCATCCCACAAGCAGATTTTGTTTCTGTGTGCTTACAGCTGTTGGAGTACTCACCACAGTTCTCTTCATCTGCACCATTCTCACAGTCATTTATGCTATCCCAATGAAATGCCTGCAGGAGGCACGTCGTATGATTTCTGCATGGAAAATAACCCTTTTGGCAGACAACACCAACTGAAATGTCTTCCACCAGCCAGGATTCTGAGAAAATATGGGAAGACATTTCCTCTATAGCAGAGTACGTTTCAAATTAGGGAGGCCTGATAAAACCACAACCACAGCATGCAACAGAATATTTTCATTTTTCACTTTAAAGTGCATTGTATGTCATTTTAATTCCGCCACTTGCATTACAGTGTCAGCTACAAATGGCTTATCACCACTGAAATTTAGAAGAGACAGCTTAAAGTTTCTGTTTGTTTTTCTTCTCTCTTTCCCATCATCTGCAGAACACATTACTGGCCAGAAAGAAACTTATCAATGTAGTTTCCTGGTAGACTGATTCCTCGAAGGTGTGAGCGTTAAGTAGCAGAACCCTGCAGCATGGCTGGGGATGGACAGGGAAGTGGTACTTGGGTGCTCCTGGCTGGGGGAAATGGAAGTCTCATGTCAAGAGAGAACTTCCAGCTGGAGCATGTGGAAAGCCACTTCCCATGCCTTCGCAGGTGGGCAACAGGGAAGTGTCTACTTATACATCAGAGAGGTACAACTACTAAGAACACCTAATGCACACAATTACAGTAAAATGTTTGAGCAATTGGCAAGACAAATCTTGGTATGAATCTGCAAAGTTGGTCTCGTTTATGGCTTTTGGGATTTTTTTTGCAATAATGCAATTACATTTATAGTCTTCTAAATCACTCATTTAGACAAGATGTTCAAAACAAGAGAATAGTTTTTATTTCCTCTATTGGTGCACATCACAAATGACTGGTTTTCTGCAGAACATTTGCAGGATATCTGCTCTATTGTTTCATTACAGGTATGGAGCATATGTCCATTTGCAAAAACACTTTTTCCCTTTCACAAAGTTTACAGGAGCTTTTATGGCCAAGAAAAACTCATGAAAGAATGCTAAAACTGCAGAAAAGCAAACCAAACAAAACAGGAAAGTTCTTTGTATCAGAGCTGATTCTGTTTTTACTCATTAGCAACGTCTTTGAAAAGTGAAGTTCAAATTTGACAAAGCAAATTTGATTATAATCTTAGCTGAACAGGTAGAAGTGTCTATGGACCCACCTTGCAAAGGCAGACATGCTAACTGTAGACACATGAGACTCCTATGGGACTATATGCAAGATTAAAATGAAACATATGGGATAAAATTATAGGGAGGAATGGCAGAAACAAAGTGAAGTAATCCAATTCCTATGAGGCTGATGGACAATTAGGGGCTATATAGTATCAGCAAGGATGGAAAGAGCAGAAATTCAGCTAAACAGTAATCTTTAAAAACTGAGTATGTTTTAGTCTTATCTAACTAACACTGTCCTAATAGTACTGCTTTTTTTATGATGCAGAGCATTGAGGTTGAGACACAATGATAGGAGATGAAATACATAGTTGATTCCAAACTCAAGCTTGAGATCCAAATTCAATTAATTTTGGAAATCTCACCAAGATATGCCTTGCCTTTTAAGTGCGATACCTCTAACATTCTCTTGCTGCAAAACTTAAAAGATGGAGGAAGAAGTTTAGACTAGCTTTTCTGAAGGCTTTTGTTGGGATCCACTATGTGGATAAAAATAGGTAGTTTAGGCTGGTTAAACTATAGATCTTTGTATATCAGTATTTTGAACAATGTTACAATTAGACTCTGATAGTTTGCTGTTTTCATCAAAGTCCTTATGGTAGTGCCAGTATTTTTAGTTCTAACTCATTTTTTCATGTATCAGATATTGCACAAAGGTTGGACTGGAAAAAGCTTTCTTTCTGTATTCATTCAGGGACAGAAAAAGCATTTTTTCAAAGTACATGTATATGTTCAGTATGGCCTGACAGTCCCTTTTAAAGAACTGAGTGTGTCCATGACCTTTCAAGAGAAGCAAAGCTACAACAGAATGCATGTGGGGTAGCAGAGCTGAAAATGAACCCTGCGTCTCTCTTCGCTCTCAGCATTCAGTTAATTGCCCTTGCAGACAAGAAGCCAGCTATGGTCCAAACAAGAAGGGCTTGCTCTTTTAGTTTTCTCTTTGAGCCTCTAAATTAATTTTAACTTGTCTTAATTTGCTCTTTTATCAAGCATAGTGCACTTACTGCTCTGATGGCTGCAGTTGTTCCTGACACACTTTCCAGTAACGCTGACACACAAACAACAGCCT